TGCTTTGCATTGCCTTCTGCTATTGCTCTGCTATGATATGCTATGCTGCGCTATGCTATGCTATGCTCTGCTATGCTGCGCTATGCTATGCTATGCTATGCTGCGCTATGCTATGCGGCGCTATGCTATGCTGCGCTATGCTATGCTATGCTATGCGATGCTATGCTGCGCTGTGCTGTGCTAAGCTAAGATATGCTATGCTATGCTATGCTATGCTATGCGATGCTGCGCTATGCTATGCTATGTTTTGCTATGCTATGCTGCTCCATGCTATGCTGCGCTATGATAGGCTATGCCATGGTATGCTTTGCTATGCTTTGATATGGCATGATATGCTAACGCTGCGCTAAGCTGAGCTGAGCTGAGCTAAGCTAAGCCAAGCTAAGCTGAGCTGAGCTAGGCTAGGCTAGGCTAAGCTAAGCTAAGCTAAGCCAAGCTAAGCTAAGCTAGGCTAAGCTAAGCTAAGCTAAGTTCAGCTAGGCTAAGCTAAGATGAGATAAGCAAAGCTAAGCTAAGGGGACGCAGCTGGGGGAACCGCGGGGCGGATCCTGGGGGAACCGCGGGGTGGATGCCGGGGGAACCGCCCGGGGCGGGGTCCACTGCCCGGCCCCTTGAAGCTAGAGGGTAAGAACCCTTCTAGGCAGAGCCTAGGTAGGGAAATAGCCAACAGTAACGAAGCAAACATGGTCACCAATGGTGGATGAAGCGTCCCCACATTGTGTTTGGACTATTTTGTGAGCAGTCCTGTTGCAAAGGGAGATGCCCGACGTACGTCTTCGTGCTCGCTTTCCCTTTGTTGTGGCCATGGCGCTGAGCGGGGCGGGCGCGGAGCAGGCGGCCGTTTCTCGTCGTCGTTGGCGTCGATTTCTCGTCGTCGCTGGCGTCGTTTAGCGTCGGCGAGCGTCGACCCAGCGTCGACAAGCGTCGATTCGCAAGAGCCGGCAAGATGGTGCGGGCGGCTTCCATGAGCCGCCACCGAAGATGCGGCTCGATGTGGGGCCTGGCTTGCTTCGCGCAGACGCCGCCGCGGCGGCCGCCCTCGTCCTCGTTGGCTTGTCGTGTGCGTCGTCGCCGTCGTATCCTCGCCGTGTTTGGCGAGACGTCATTTTTTTGGGTTAGACCAAAGAGCGGCAGAGGGACGCCGAGATGTCCGTTGTCTGGGTTCGACCAAGAGCGGCAGAGGGACGCCGAAATGTCATTTGTTTGGGTTAGACAAAGAGCGGCAGAGGGACGCCGAGATGTCATTTGTTTGGGTTAGACCAAAGAGCGGCAGAGGGACGCCGAGATGTCCGTTGTTTGGGTTCGACCAAGAGCGGCAGAGGGGACGGGGGCCAGCGCCCCGCTCGGGCCGTCGGACAGAGCTCATCGGACGTCGCTCCCTGCGTCAGGTCGGGCGTGTCCCTCTGCAGGGAGGGGGAGCGTGAGGCCCGGGTCTGCCGGGACTCGGGTTCGCCCTCGTTTTTTGACGGCCGCGCCTCGGAGTTTGACGAGGAGGCGTTTCGTGGGACGTCTGCAGCGGGAGGCCTCGTCAGAATGCAGGCTCGGCCTCGTCGTTTTTTTGACAACCTCGTCGGGGATTTCCGAGTCCCCTGTACCCAGGTCTTACGTCCCCCTGATACAGGAGGGAGGCATAGTCAAAACTAGGCACAACAATAGTATGGGGACGGTTTGTCGATGATTAGTTTTTTGAGCATTTTTGACAAACTTTGAGTTTTCTTCCAAGATCCGCCTGCACCCGACCTAAATCTAGGCCTCCCAGAGGGGGTCGGAGGTTCGCGCCACATCGCCGATGCATCGCCGATGCGGCTCGATGTGGAAACTGGTGTTCTCCACGCGGACGCCGCCGCGGCGGCCGTTCTCGTTGTCGTTGGCTCCGTGTTCGTCGTCGTCGTCGTCGTCGTCGTCGTCGTCGTCGTCGTCGTCGTTGTCATGGTCTTCGTGCGCGCTGTGGCTTTCGTCGTGGCCACTGTCGCTTTCGTCGCTGCCGTCTTTGCTTCTGTCGCCGTTTCCGTCGTGGTCGTCGTTGCTGTCGTCGTCAGCCACGGGGGGGGGAAGCTCAGGGGAAGCGTTAGGCTGGAAAGCCGCCGCGAGCCTACAAAAGGGTCCGAACACTTCGAACCTCGATCCTTCGACTCGAGCCTCGCACCTCGAAGCTTCCTCCCCCCTGAGCCTCTCAGAGCTCGCCCCGGGGCGGGTCTGGGAGGCGCGGCGGCATCGGTGCGCCCTCGGCAGGCGGCCTGGGACTCGGCCCCGGCGATGGCTGGCGCGCTGGGGGTGCCCGCGTCGGAGGTCCAGGTGCTCGGCGGGCGTCACCATGCAACAGTCGGGCCGGACAACAGGGCAGGACAGGAAACCGGGGGGACCTAGGCCTCCTGGATGGGGCCGGAGTAGATGGAGTCGGTGGGTCGCGCCGCATCGCCGATGCATCGCCGGTGCGGCTCGATGTGCAGCCCGATTTGCTTCACGTCGACGTCGCCGCTGCATCGCCGACGTCGACGATGCATCGCCGGTGCATCGCCGGTGCATCGCCGATGCATCGCCGATGTATCGCTGATGTATCCGCGATGCGGCGCGATCCTCCGACCCCATCTACTTCGACCCCATCTAGGGGGCCTCTAGGTGACGAAGTTTGCGGCGTGCAGCTGGTTTCCGCCCCGGCGCGGGGCCCATGATTCGAGGCATGGGCGCCTCCCAGCGCCAGCAGGCGCCAGGAAAACCAGCTGCGTGGGCCAGCTTTAAGTCGGGCGTGTCCCTCTGCAGGAGGAACATTCAAAAATAGTAGAAGAGTTGTCGGAGGACGATGTTTCAAATATTTTGACAATGTTTGATATTTGTGGGGAATATTTTTGGTGTATTTTTAATTTTTCGTCCCAAACTCGCCTGTAGGGGGACATGCCCGACCTAAGGCTAGCTCTCTACCCTACCCTTTGCTCTCCTACCCTTTCGCCCGCCCCGATCGGGGGGCGTCCAGCATGCAATATAGGTTCGCGTCGCGTCGACGCGGCGGCGACCCCACAGCAGACGTTCAAGGTTGAACGCCGCCAGTGGCCCAGAATCGGCCAGCACGGAACGGTCTGGCGATCGAAAATACGTGGTTTCAGGAAACAACGCCAGGGTCGTCAGTGATCGTTCTTTTATTCATCGTTTCGCCGATCGGCGCGGGCCCTAGCACCACCCCCTTCCTCGCCCCCCGATGGAGTAGATCTTGGTGGTTTTGGGCGCCTGTTTCGAGCAGGTGGAGCCTCCCCCCCTAGTGGACGCACTGCTGCAAACCGTCGCACTGAGCATTGGCCACGGGTCCGGAGCCAGACGCCCCCCTCCCCCCCCCGCTTCCGCCCAGCGTCGAGACGTCGAATACGAACACGCTCACGACACGAACCCGCCGCACGTCGAGGGAGCAACAACTGGCAAAGACATACAGCCGGACCGAGGTATAAGATCGAGGTCGGTTCGGGGAGGGTACCCTCGTGTTCTTCGTGTTTGTTGGATGTTCTTGTGCACCCTGGTCAGGATGCCCTTAGATGCTCTGTCTGTTTTGGCCAGCGGAGGGTCTCATGTTCTTGAGGGGTGTTCTTCTGGCCTAGGTCTGTCTGTACGGCAGGTCCGCGTCGTGTCGACTCGCTGCGACCCCGCCGCGAGCGTTCAGGGTTGAGCGACGCAAGTGGCCCAGAATCGGCCATCTTGGGGCGATCTGGCGATCGGGAAGCCGCCGATCGTTCAAGGTTGAGCGATCCAACGCGGTGTCAGAAACCAGAAGTCGAGGTCGTCACGACACGGACCTGCCGTATCTTCTCGGAGGTCTGCGCGGATAGCATCTTGGATCGGCTCCGGGCCCCTCTGGCGGCGCCCCGGGCGCGCTCCGCGACCCAGGGTGGGGGGTCCAGGACCCATCCAAGAAATCTGGGAAACTCTATGTTTGTGCAGCCTGTTTCAAGGGAGGAAACACCACCCAGACCCGCCAACTTCGGGGGTGGACAGAACCCCCAACAGTGACACGTCGATTAGTGAATTGTCCGTTTTCAGTTCTCGAGAGGGCGCCGTGGCCGTTATTTTCCAGGCTTGCGCCCGCCAGGTTTGGGCCCGAGGTCGTTTTCACTAAACCACGTTTTACTAAAGGGAGGTCTGTCCATCCCCGACAACTGGCGCTTATTCAACGGCCTTGGGCGTTTATTGAACAGCCCTGCCCTGTTCAATTTCTTCTGTGGGTGCGTTGGCTAAACGGCTTCGCGTGTCGGGCGGATCATTATGGGGGTGGACGTTCGGCCCTCTGTTGTTGTTCCTCTGCGACACCCGAGCCGATCCTGGCCGGGCCAGTCCTGGACCCAGGATCGGTGTTTACGCCTTCCTGGCTCGTCGAGGACGGCGCACACGTGGCGGCCCGAAGGCGGGGAAGGGCCCCCAGAGGCCGAGGGGGCCTGGGATCCTGGGGCCAGCACTGGCCTGGCCAGGATCGGCGCAGGCGTGCAGCGCAGCGGCCCTCCTCCGGATCCAGGCGGATTCTGGAAGGAAAAATAGCACAGAACCAGGAAAAGCCCCGAACCAGTCAAGCCATAACAGAAAGGTCGTCCCCCTTATCATGTTTGGACTCTACGTGACCGTTCCTCCTGTAGGGGGACAGGCCCGACCTAGCAAGTTCGGCCACGCGCAGAGGGGGGTAGGGGGAGGTGAGAAGAAGCACCACTGCTTCTTAGAAGGCGCGGGCCTTCTCTGTAGACGTAAGGCCGGCGCCTTCTAAGAAGCAGCCTCCTAAGAAGCCTTCCCCCCGCCCCCTACCCCCTCCTCCTCCTCCTCCTCATCATCATCATCCTCCTCCTCCTCCTCGTCCTGCTCCTGCTCCTGCTCCTGCTCCTGCTCCTCCTCCTCCTCCTCCTCCTCCTCCTCCTCCTCCTCTTCCTCCCCCTTCCCCCCCTCCCCTCCTCCTTCTCCTCCTCCCCTCTACCCCCTCGTGCGCGCCGCAGAGGCCCTCCTCCGAGGTGACCGCCGCCGCCCCCGGCCTGGCGCGGCGGCGCGTGGGGGCGGCCGGGCGCGCGGGGCGCGCGCCGTGGGACGTCTCCTACGAGGTCGCCGCTGCCAGCGCGGAGGATCGGCAGCGAGCGAGGGGGGGAAGTGAGAAGGAGAAGGCCTTCTCAGAAGGCGGCGGGACTTCTCAGAAGCCCTCGCGCCTTCTGAGAAGTTTTTTCTGTCTTCGGGGAAGGCTTAGAAAACTTCTCAGAAGTCCGGGGGACTTCCGAGACTTCTGAGAAGGCACGCCCCTTCTCACTTCCCCCCGTGGCTCGCCGCCTAGAGGAGGCCGGCACGGTCGCCGCGGCCCTCACGGGCATGCAG